TGTCCTGCCTTTATGTCTGCCTCTTTTACATCTTTGAAGCATTCTTCTGTTCCCCCTCCCTCAATCTCGACATTTTTCACTTCGATGTTCCTTCCTCTCTGTGAAGCGTGAAGTCAACTAAAGGGCTAATGATAATTATCCAAAATGCCTGCCATTTGATATAAATAAATAAACTTTCATTGAGAAAATGATGAACTCGATCAGTCGTTTATGTGTGAGCGAAATAAGTACTACACACGGGCCTCTCATTTTTCATAATGGCCATCAATGATTCAAATACGTAATTGAAATCAATGTACACCCACAAACAACAATCTTTATTATTGATTGTCTAATTAAAAGCCTCCAAATTTTGTAGTTACTTTTCAATAAGGTGAATGCACAAAACGACCGCAGAAAATGCGCTTTAAGCGCTTGTAATGATCAGAGGAGCAAAATTTTAGCCCCACCCCGGCTAAAAGCCCCTTATTTTTCAACCACTTCTATTAACTAGACACGCCTGCCATTTGATATAAATAAATAAATATTAACTAGACACCACCAATGTGATTTGCCATTTCGTGGGCCGGTTGGCTGTCTTTGTAAAGATATTAACCGACGCGCTTTGGTGTTGCAAACGAGGGCGTTGCCCATCGAAAGCAAATGAGTAGAAGCCAAGATAGCGACCAGATGGGATCATGCCGTGGACTTCGCTGAGGTGAAAAGAACAAAGATTTGAGGCGCTCTGCTGAACTACCTATTGATGTGTTTGTCTGGCCTTTTTTTAAAATAAACATTATTCTACCATGTACTGCACTAAGTCATTCTTTAAGAGAGGTTTAGGTAAGGTAATATGCACTCGAAACGAATGTACATTTACCAATTAGAAACGATGAAGTAAAATACTGACTTGGTTAATTCAACCAATCAAAATGAGGTTAATCGCACCAGTAGTGGTGAATACGGAAAGAGGAGGCACCTGAATTGCAATTAGATCGAATGTGTAGTTTGCATTCACATCTTGTGCCCCAGAGATCGAAACCAGGCACAACTGATAGTATTAGATCTAGTGAGCGCTGATGTTACTGTATGGTGAGTTGGCTTTGCACCTAAGGTCCCGTTCCTTGTCTGGGGCAATATATTTCAGAGCAGGGGTGCGCCATGGACAAAGTATACTCACACTGCAAAAATGTCTACAAATCGGCAGTTGAATTCAAACTTCCATGACCCTACTGTGCATCATACTCGACCACTTCCACATTCCTCTCCTTACCTGTTTCTCTACCTTTGGTCTGTCCTGTGGAACACTCTTCTATTCAGGGCATGCTCTCTGACATTCTCTGGTCTAGAGCGCATTACCCAATAACAGAAGTGCAACGTGATTAGTTATGATTGGTTAAATGACGGAAAGATTCAAATTAATTAAGGTCCAAACTTTAGAGCCAACTTACCTAACGTCAAAAGACAATATCGAAACACCAATAACTCTCATCTTTACAACCGCAGGCCTAATAAGCAATTTGTACTAGCGGTATTATATATTAATTGTAATAGGTACAATTTGTACAAGAGTAAAGTCAAGAGATTCAGGGGACGAGTGAAACGCAGAGTAGACCTGCAATTTAAAACGTGCAAGAAAGGGAGATTTCTACTGTTGCATCGGTTGATGCATTTGTTGAGACATCTGCTGGGACTGCAGCTGTTGCGTTTGCGGTTGTGGAGGCATCTGTTGAGAAGGCTGCGGAGCGTGTTGTTGTTGTTGTTGCTGCTGCTGCTGTTGAATGATTGGACCTCCCTGTCGAAGATGAGAGATGAACTGAACCAGCGTGCAGGCTTGAGTGTTCCTGAAACGTTGATTAACCATATCCTCCAGCGCTGAATAGCGCGACTTTTGCGGCTTCTTCGATGGACCCAAAACCGCGACAACATTCTTCGCTGTGTCGTAGGTCAGAGTTAACACCTCGACTCTGGGGTTTCGTTGTGAAGCCTGAAATAAATGGTGTAAAAAATATATACATACTAAAACTTAGGAATTATCGAAGGAAAACATGCTACTTGACCTTAATTCTACTAAATGTTAACCGATTGACAGACAATGTTTTGTCCCTCTCTTCCATTTCTGGCTCGTTTTCAGTGAAGTTCAAATAAGTGCGAATAGTGATATCTTAACTATTTGGTACAAATATTGTTGACACGCGTTAACGCCAACTTCCTCTCAATTTGAGAATCAATGATTGGAATTGAATGAAGTTAACAGCGATGAGAAGAGCATGAATTACCGACATGGAGCAGTTAGCAAAACATGAGACAAGATCTCTCAACCACAAAACATCAATATTAGCAATCGGTTCCCTAACTTCACTTTAACAGAAGGAAAAACGGTTTCGTGAAGGCTTCAACTTAAACATGTTCCGACTTAATCCACAAGCTTGCAGTGGCCATGGATTCCACCGATGTCCCCATTTGGCGCAGCGATTAACTTGCCCTCCTTTGCGAAGTCAGTTAACACTTGTTAGCGCATAACCTGAGATTGGTATGACAGCATTATTTAGGTCTGGGCGCTGAATGATGCATGCCTGATTCCGAGTTTCCCGGCAGGCTGATTTCACCTCAACACAAGATGAGGCGCATTTGAGAAAGCTTGCTTAAATAGGAATTACGATTAGTAACATTGCGAAACGTGATATGGCAAAATTTGTCCCAACCATCTCATCTTCTTGGTCCTAAATTGAATCAGTATCGGTTTCCTTACTCAAAATCTTGTTTGAGTCATCAGATAGCAAGGAAATTATTGCTTTAAAGGCAATTTCCTAGCTACTTGCCTCATATACACGGGAAAGCTTGATACTTACAATGTGTTCAATGATTGTAGTGAAGATGATCTTATTTCGGACTTACCATGGATGTGCCCGGAGCTATCTCCTGCTGGCTGCTTAGAGCAGTATTAGGCCTTGTAAGGATGATCTGCATGATGAGCGTGTGTGGCATGGATAAAACCACCGAAGGTTCAGGAGCAGCAGAGGTGAAAGAGACGAGTCCAACGCGGAGAGATGTCGAGGAGTTGGTGGTTCCTGTTGTGGAGGAGCCTCCATCAAGATCCCAGGCAAAAACGTTGGATACTAGATCGTAGAGGGTTTTGAAGGGAAGGGTCATGAGACGGAAGAAGGACGTGATGGCTGAAGCTTGTGGTGAGACAGAGCAAACCTTAACGAAGAAAAGAGCAAACACACACTTATTTGATGGTAGTATACTAACATCTGTGTATTTATGTAAGTCCAGTCACGAACGTCTGGCCAAGTGTGGTAAGCAAATGGCTACCAGCGAATTTATGTCGGAGATAGTGAAATAGGGTGGTTACCTGCCGGAAACAGCAGAACCGAAAAGGTAAACTCTCTTGCATGCCTAGGATCGCGAAAGGGACACAAAGTGACAAATGCAAAGGGAGTAAAATTGGCAAGGGACCGACCTATTTTAAGCGACGCAAGAACAATTAGCCATTACCGCTATTGTGGCCTTCCTACCTCCACAAAGTCTGCCTGAAGATAACAGACTTGGAGATCTCCTTGGTATTGAGTAAGGACTTCCATCACAGAGCCATGACGTGCGGAGAGCATACTTCTGAGGAATCCAATGGCGAATGGCCTACTTATATTTTACCACAGAGGGGTGTGGGATAGAATGTCATTTGTTACAAATATTTTACCAAAGAACAGCTAATTATCCAGTAATCAAGCCTTTTGAGTTATCAGACACTAGTGGAAGCCACACAAGCAAAGAACTCGAAGTTGCAGTTACAGCAAGTCAATAGAATCGGAAATTTTTTCCATTTTATATTTAACCATTCTGTCACGGTTTCAAAACAAAGAAAAATGGACTTTCCTCAACAATGAGATGAAAACCATGAAATTACTTGCGAGTGTTTACGCCAAAAAAAGGAATGGTTGTGCACGAACAACGAAATCACCATTCCACAAGCATATTAGCGATGACCTTGAGTGTCAAGATTATAGATAAGGGAGACTGATAAACAGATCTAATTGCCGAGAGCAGTGAAAAGGCGTTAACGCATTTTCCTTAACTTGAGAGTTGAGTAGGAAATAATAAACTGAATTTCTCCATCGTTGCGCATAAATTGTTCGCTTGTTTGAACAGTAAATCCATTCTAGCTTTTGGGGGAGGGGGGATAATGGCTTAGACGACTTTAAAAAAAGTAAATAAGACAAACCCTTCTACTGAAAAACTCCTCAATCTTGGCAGAAAATTCTCCACTTTCATTTGAAGTATAACTTTTTTCAAGATCAGAAGAAACTTTGAGTTGAAGTCGCCAACTGGGAAGATTTCCCTCCACAGGATCATCCCATATGTACATTTTCACTTTCACTTCTATACCCTTATCCGGATGCGATTTAGCAGTGAATTCACCAGTATCTATATCCAAAGGTGCCGAAATCTGCCAGCGAAGAGAGTTCATAACTTGATTTGAGGCATGGAAGATCAAGCTAGAAGAAAAGTACTTTTCCAATGGAGAGATGGTTACAGCAAGTGGGTCCTCTGGATCAGCTTTCGAATTAGTGACAATGCGGTCCAGTTGAGAAACTGTAAAGGCATTAAAAGGCATGGAACCCTCTTCTACATTGAATGCCTTCTTCATCGAGTCAAGGAATTGCTAAAACATAAGATAAGTCAACTCGTCAAGGTGTACTACTATCACAACCTTAAGTAGTATAAGCTTTCACTAACTTTAAAGGCCGGAAGAGGGACAAAACCTTGAACAGGATAGATCTCACTTGAAATTCCACCTCCTTTCTGTGGAGATGAATTAGCTCCAAGGTCCAGATTGTGACATCCGTCAGAAAAGAAAACAAGGCCTTGGTCTCCATGCTCAGGGATTTTGTAAGTCAACCGAAGACATAAAGTGCCTCTGTAGACAAGATTAAGATCACAACAGGAGAGTGCCATCAGAGACATACTACGCACGGGACGGGCTGACTGGACGACAATAGGAGACTAAATCGATAAAAAATAGAAAGTAAGTGCTACTCTGCACTTCTAAGTAGAAATAGTTATTCAAAGACTGTCAACTGGAAAAAATAGAAATGGAAGTTTTAATGAGGAGCAATATTAAAACAGATCAATAAAATCGAAGCACATTTGAGTGGGAGGTGAACATTAGTTCAGCACATACCCTCGATATATTGTTAATGATTGTGGGTTTGCGCAGAGCTTCCATGGTAACCATAAAGTCGGAAGTAGAGGAAAGGAACTGAAGCAGATGGAAGGAGAGCATTAGAAGGCACTAAGAATGCGAGAAGAAAAAGAGGCGTGAAAGCACTGAACATACTTTACACAGGAGTATAATCGATTTCTGCCTTTCAACTAAGAATTCAAGGTGCTCGCGAATGAGACAATGGGGATTTTCAAACAGATCGCGCTCGCGTTGCTGTTGATTAATTGGAAGGCTTTCAACATCGCGTTTTTCCTTCAAACCAAAAGGACCTGGATGAAGACCAAGTCGAAGAACGCAGCGATTTTGAGAATTCAACGAGAGATGAGCCTAATAGACAAGATATAGGATATAATTTTAACCCACATACACAACGAAAAATCATGGTAAACAATGTCGGTACAAAGGAAACAGCTGAAAGTGACTAACAATTAAAAATAGGGGTGTGCGATAGACTTACCTCCACGTGGTGCATCCTAGGCAACGCATACTCATAGAGCAAAAAAGTCTATTAACCGGCAGTTGACTACTGACTTCATACTATCACCACCCCACTGTATGTCATATTCGACTACTTTCACAGTACTTACCTCACCTTTTCTCTGTGTCTCTTTTACATCTGTGAAACACTCTTCTGTTCCCCCTCTCGACTTTTCCTCACTTTGATGGTTCTCCTCCCCTCTGTGAAGTCCAAAGTCAACTAAAGGGCTAATGATAGCTATCAAAACGCCTGCCATTTGATATAAATAAACAATTAAAGATATATTGGTTAGAGGTTACGCATTAGGTACTAATCCACCAAATAGATGTCATAAGATAAATACTAGTTAAATTTGAACAAGTTCGTCACAGTAGCACACGATTTCCACTTTTCTCCCAATAATTCAGGATTTATCTCTATTGGAGGATGTCTACATCAAGTGTGCCAACTTAGCGCTTTTCTAACCTTAAATTAAAAGGATAAATGTGATACAGATTCCTCTTTAAGTATTCCACTCCTGGAAGTCAGGTAGTTAATACAAAGAATCTATTTACAGTTGCTTGTCATTTAATGGAAGCAGCTGA